AGTGGTTTCTTAAATGTTATTATTTGCCCAAGAAACTTGTGATGATCTGTTGCTAGAGAATTAAATGTGTATAAGATAATTAATATTATAGGAATATAATATTAATAAGTATTAATAAAAAAAAAAATAATTACAGATGATATGAATTTTTTTTTTCTAACTGCATAATCAGTGTGAAAACATTAAAAACTAATTAATAACCTTATATATGTTAAGCTTTAAAGAGAGAAGTTGTAGGTATGGATGGAAGTTTGGAAAGAACACAAAGTTACTAATATTTTAACATTTTACAGTACAGGCTGAAAGAAACTGTAAAAACACATATGCATCAAAACTTAAAACTTACTATACTAGGCATTGTTTATGTGGCTCATGAAAACAGCCATAATTTTGTTTTCCCTATCTAGCTAGAGCTAGTTGTAACTAAACACGAGTCTTCTTCATGTAAATAGGTTAATGGTTGAACTTATTGTAAGAATTATTAGTCTGTGTCTAGTAATTTCTGACTAACACAGTTAAATGAGCAAGTTTTTCAGCAATCAAAATTGTTTGAGTAAGCAAAAGAATAACTTTAAAACTAACTTTTTGACTAAACCAATCCTACCCTAAGTAGCACTGATTATGTTTGTAGCTTGTAGTAAGTAAGCAATATATTAAGTTAAAGCTTCACTATTATTTATGTATACAGTGTAATGAACAATAGGCATCAGAGTGACTTCACATGTAACTGATGGCCTCTAGGCTACACCCTCACATTTGTAAGTTGTGTACAAGGAAAATTCATGCTCACAGTCATGCTAGTGGAAGTAATAATAGCATGAATAGTTGGAATAATTGTAAAACACTAATTTTGATTAATTAAGTATTTTCGTAAGTAATGACACTAGTCAATTAATTTGATCAACCTTGAATTAATTAAAAATAATGAGAAATCATATTGGCAAAATTTCTGTTACCTGGATAGTTGGAATAATCTAAAACAGTACTAATCAGAAATACTAATTTTGATTAGTTGATTATTTTCATGTTACTAATCATTCTAATAGATACTCATACACAATTAATTATATTGAGTTATATGCCCAGTTTTATTGTTCTTTAAATATTATTGTAGTTAGGGATTACATATAAACCTTGTTCTTTTAATTAAAATCACAATCACAAAATCTTTTTATCACAAAAACATTTGTTGATTGGCTTATTATAAAGCTAGGTTCTTGGGGTCTGTTGTAATTGATGATGGAATATATATAAGTTTGGTTTTCCTTCCAGTGGCTCCTAAAGAATTTGTTATTGAAGAAGACCATAACCATTACAAGTGTCATATAGTTGGTTGTGGGAAAAGTTTTCGAAAAGAAAATCTTCTACAGTCTCACATCAAACACTATCACAGTAAAGGTGAAGATTCTTCCAAAAATGGTGGCAAAACACTTACTGCTGGTCTGGGTAGCACTTCCAGAAATGTCACAGAAAGTGTTGGTACTTCCCCAAGTTCTAGTTATGTAACAGTTAAAGAGGAAGTGACAGAAACTAAACACGAGTTGAAAACAATCATAGATACAAAAGATGATGTCATCAACATCACTCTGAATGAAAATAAGGACTTGTCAAATTCTGGTGAAAACAATCTTCCTCTAATGAATAAAATAGTACCTTGTTATGAAAGTTCATTGACTGAAAAATCTAATCTGTTTCAAAATCTTCCTGGAAATGATACTATCCAGTCTTTATCTTCAAATCCAAAGAATACCACACTTGATAGTGATACAGGGAATAAAACACCAACTAAAAGTAAGGTCTCATTAGTACAAGAAGGAGTACCCAGGCCATCTCCTACTATGACAACTCGAAGACAATCTTATGCTGAAACAACATGTGTGAAAAGTGAATCCAAAACTAGTCCAAGATTTGAGACTAGGCTCTCAAAAACTGTTTTTAAATTGGAAGACTCTCCTGGAGTGGCAACACGGAAGACATCTGTCCAGGTTGAAAACAAAAAGAAGGAAAAGTCTTGTGAAGTGAAACTAGTTGATAACAAAAAGAAAGAAAAAATATGTGAATTGAAACAACCTGAAAACAAAAAGAAGGAAAAACTGAGTGAACTGAAACAAACTGAAAACAAAAAGAAGGAAAAATCAATCGAACTAAAACATACTGAGAACAAAAAGAAGGAAAAATTGAGTGAAGTGAAACAAACTGAAAACAAAAAGAAGGAAAAAGCAAGTGAAATGAAGCAAATTGAAAATAAAAAGAAGGAAAAAGCAATTGAGCCGAAACAACTTGAAAATAAAAAGAAGGAAAAATCAAATGAAATTAAACAAATTGAAAACAAAAAGAAGGAAAAACCAAATGAAATTAAACAAATTGAAAATAAAAAGAAGGAAAAACCAAATGAAATTAAACAAATTGAAAGCAAAAAGAAGGAAAAAGTAAGTGACATTAAACAAACTGAAAACAAAAAGGAGGAAAACCGAATTGAACAGAGGCAAGTTTATAACAAAAAAAAAGATAAATCAAGTGAATTTAAGCAAGAGGAAAGCAAAAAAAAGGAAAAAATTTCTGATTGGAAGCAAGAGAAAACTACTTTAACAGGAAACAGTAAACCTAAAATTGGTAAGTACGTGCTTATTTAGTTATTCAGATTAATTTTATATAGAAAATATTTATAATGTTTTGAAGGATTCCATTTATTTAAAGCTTATCTTTTAGATTATTATGAATAATGATATGTTTAATTTTTGCATGTTTTTTTTCTGATCTTATATCTTGGTTTTGAAAGAAAAAGTGACAAATATCATTTATAATAATAAATGAGGATAAAATTACAGTTACACTAATAAGTGTTGCAAATGCATCATTCTACAGAAGGTTGACTATATTACATTAAAATGTTTTTGACTGTGCAAGTCAGTGAGTCATCATAGCTATAGTAGTTATAAGGTTGTGATGTAATGCCATGTATCAGAACTACATTTGACATTACTTGGCATTTCGTAGGGCATGATATCACCATAAATTGATTACTTTTGGGAAAGTATTGTAATAGTCCTTCTGACTGAAAATATTCATACACTCAGACCATGAAGGTACGATCAGATTGGATATTTCCAAGATCGGGATATCCTTTGTATATAATGGCATTGAAAAAAAACAATGGAATATGGATCAACTTGGGGTAACAGGACTATCCATAAAGAGACCTGCAGCATGAATGAATGAATCATTGTAGTCAGTTTTGGTCAACTCTTTACACTGAATATTGTGATAGACAAAAACAGTTCAGTATGATGCAAACAGTATAAAAATTAGCCTGTAATTTGAGGGCTCATTTTCTCTAAGGAAATGAAAAAACTACAAATTTTCAAAGTAGTTATCTATGAACAGCATACTGAAACTGCACAAAATTTCACAAATGTTCCTTGCAAGTTTTACAAATTTTAACATAGTATATGTGGCCTATCAGCATAAAAATTATTTCATGTGTTAAAATAACATTCCTTCAAGTCCTGAGTTACTTATTTACCTTATTCAGTATCCAAGTTTTCACTTAATATTTTGTTTTGTTTTGTAACCTTATTAGGGCAAATGAGGAAGTTCTACAAAATTAGTACTTTATTTTGTATCTCAGATAGTTAAAAAGCTAAAGTAGGTGATTATAAATTCTTATCAGTTATGTTTCATATGGCATTTTTTTGTTGGAAATGCATTGTGCTACAGCAAATAACACATGTAACTATCACCAGTAGTAAACAATTAAACAAAAATGACGATTCTTTTTTGCTTCAAAGAAGAATTTGATGATATTTTTGAACTTCACATTGTTATTGGAATTTTGATGTTGTCACTAAACATATGTTGAATTTTAATACAATTTTATGAAATGAACTTTGATGGAGTACATTGAAACATAATTTTACTGATTTTTAAATATCAAAATACAAACTTAAAATCCACAGCATCTTTTTTTTCTTCAAATTATCATGTTATGTTTTACATTTTTTTTAAATGTATTTCTTTAAAAAAAAGCTGAATGAAAATAATGTTTAGAAACTTTATTCACTTTATAACTTGTTCAATGCTAGTGTAACATTTTGTTTTGACCATTGAGGGTGTCCTAGCTCTAACACCATAAATAATGTTTTAACTAAAGTTTCTACTGATCAGAATGTTTACATAGGTGATGAGTGTTTCACTAGGATGGAAAGAAATGCAAGTAGTTAAGTTGATTTTGAAAATTTATTTAGAAACAACTAGACGTAGAACAAAATCTATACAGGGCACATCAGATATTACTCCATCCAACAAGAAACCTAGGATCAAATTAGCATCAGATAATATACCAAGAACAGAAAGGATGTTTCCAGAAGGTAATGAAAACTTATTATATATAAGATATAAAATTATACATTGCATCCATTTGTTATATTTCTATTTTAGTGAGTTTCATGTCTACATAGGTATTAGTTACATGAAGAACTTGTCAGACTCCCTTCCCTCCTTCCAGTTTCAAGAATGATGTGAAAAATTTATAAGTTTAACCTTTTTTTTTTAAAACAGGCATTTGCAGTAGCTCATCCTTCAATTTTCATTACAGGTTGAATGGTCAATAGGTGCACCAGTAGAAAATATACCCTCCCTACAACTTGCTTTATGTGCTCACCCACCCACTCCCACTGGATTTAAATGTCTTATAATAACTTTTTTGATTTTTTAATCATTTCACTTTTCTATTGTATTTCACCAGATTTTGATCCCTGTACAGTAGATATGTTCATAATCTAAGGTAGTTATTCCTCTCTCTCTCATTAGCAGAGAGATCTTTTCTTAATGTTGATCTGTTATGGTTGACATTTAACAAACTCTGGATCCTCATGTTTTTTGTATATATATGTGTGTGTGTGTGTAAACCAAAGAAGCTATTCCAACCTTTTAAAACTTGGTTACCTCTCCTCAAATACTGACTTGAGCATATGACTAATTTATCTTTTTGCCCATTACAGTTGCCCAAAACACCACTTAGAAAGTATTATTGACCTATTATGTAGGTTATTGAACATAATAAAATATGTGGTGGTGATGGTTGACTTTATAGAAATATACTTTAAGGTGTATGTATGCTTTATGTGTGTGTGAGTTCATGCTGTTTGAATTGTTTGAGGGGTTATTGACCAAACCTTGTAGATATGCATATAGGTTAAGATCACATTACAAACAGTTTGTATGTTATAAAACTTGGTCAATTTTTGCATCTTGAGCTTTACTTGTTTTCAAAGGTGAATAATCACTGTGGTAAAGTGTCAAATGATATTACATGTTCAGTGGGCATATGTTTTGTAAATAATGTTGTTTTTTTTTAAGTATTCTTTTAGCCAAAATATTTCCTATCTTAGTGTGGAGGTTTGCTTGGTAGTATTACAGATGCTGATTTTATAATTTATTCTGAACCATATGATTATTATCTTTGCCTTTCATTTTTGTAGTAATTTTTATTCAATGACATATTGGGCAACCAGATAGTAAGCTGGTATGGTGTTTTCAAAATATTTGATAAAACATTTATATTTTATTATGGTTTGTTTTTCATGTACTTGTAAACATATAGGTTATTATGTTTTTTATTGTTCCAGTAAAACATTTTTATCATGTTTTTTTTAGTGTAGTGGTAAAGAATTTAGATAATTATGTTTTCTCACTATAATAGCAAATATGTAGTATATTATATGTTCTTTATAAAGGTAACTTTGTGAATTAATTGTTTTAGAACAGACAGAAATTTTAAAAGGGTTTATTTTTTTTTAATGAAATCTATTCTTGTAAAACAAGTAATAGATTTGCTGCTTACAAAAACAAGTTTTAGATGTTAAAGTAGAAATTATATTAATTAACGTTTTTAATTCTTGAAGTAGTGAACCATGTTTTTGTAAGTTTCCAACAACATCTTAATTGAACAGATTTACATTTGCTATTTTTGATTATCAACAAAATACACTTATTATGAGCAGAATCAACTCGAACAAGGACCAAGTCTCTACAAGAGATCTCTTCAGATGCTAACTCATTCAGTAGGAAACGACGGATAATCTCAGAACCAAGTAGCCTGGATAGCATAGATGATAGTTTACTAAGAGAAGGTAAATGTTGGTGATAATTAAATCAGAATGGCGTTAATATTTCAAAGTTATATTGTTAACTCAACTTAAATGAACTAAGTACATTTAAAACTGAGGAGCTGGTGTACAAATATATGTAAGTTTGAAGGCTATAAAAATTATTCTTAGCTTTCAGAAACTAGAAGCTATTTATAAAAATACTATGGTTTATGTTAACCACTTTCTTTTTTTTTTTACAGTATAAAATTAAAATTTACTTATATCATGATTATAACATATGCAGGTTCAAATATTTATATTTTACGTAGTAAGTTAATTTTATTATTACTTTGTGGGACATGGCATGGCCTGGTGATTAGAGCACTTGATTCACAATCTGCCAGTTGTGAGACTGAATCCTGAACATGCTTGCCCTTTCAACCATGAGGGTATTATAATGTGACCATCAATTCAATTTTTCATTGGTAAAAGAGTAGACGAATAATTGGTGGCGGGTGGGGCTGACTAGCCGCTTTCCCTCTAGTCTGCTTCTAAAATAGGGATGGCTAGTGAAGATAACTCTCAAGTTGCTTTGTGCAGAATTAGAAAAACAAATAACCAAACAATATATTATGTTTTTTAAGAAATGCTTTTATGTTGATTAAAATGAAATTTTAAAGAAGTGTAAAAGTAATGATGTAACTATACTATGCTTAAGTAATCTGTAATTTATATTAGAGGAAGTTATGTTTCATCTGTAAATGAACTGATACATGATATATCAGTTATTTGGTTTAGGTTTCTTTAAACATGAGGATACCCAGAGTTCATCAGAAACTGTTGAATCCAGGGACACGAGAGATCCAGACACCTCACTTGATATGCCTTCTGTGACAAGTAAAAAAACCAAGAAAACTCAATCTCAACAACAGGAGTACTGGTACGAAGGAGAGGTTGTTCACTGCATATGCGAGTCATCAGAAGAAAGTGGATTAATGATGCAGGTTTGTTTATTATATCTTAAGTAATTGTTTAATCTCCATATAGTACATTAGATTAACAGAATTGGTTAATTTTATCTACCTGTGGTAAAGTAGATTATCAGTAAAGATTTTTGTAATTGTTTAACATTAGTGGATTTTACTTGAAAATGAGAATCACTACTGTACTAAATTTGTGTACATATAGTAGAATAGATTAAGTTTTGGAGAACCCAGTTGATTCCTTAATGAATTTAATTGTTATTGACATTATTTTCTTTTTCTTACTGGCACATATGAGGCTGGCAAAATAGATCATTTAATTCAGATTGTGATTGGTAATTCAAATTTTATTTGATATCTATAAGTACTGATTCAATAATGTATGTCATTTATTTAAGTATCTTTTGTTTTAATCACAAAATAGGGCAATAACTGTTACAAGCTTGTTAAATGCAGTATTAATTTATTCGTGTGTCTCAAAGGTGTAGGTGTGGTTGATTTACTGTTAATTAGACACCATAAATATAATTTCAGAATTATTGTTTCATTGTTGTAGGAAGGCTACCATGTTATAATATTTAATGTTTATGATGTAAAGTTGTCTTCTTATAATTTTTGAAAATCAGAATTATTGTTTTGTTGTTGTAGGAAAGCTACCATGTTATAATATTTAATGTTTGTGATGTAAAGTTGTCTTCTTATAATTTTTGAAAATCAGAATTATTGTTTCATTGTTGTAGGAAAGCTACCATGTTATAATATTTAATGTTTGTGATGTAAAGTTGTCTTCTTATAATTTTTGAAAATCAGAATTTTTGTAATGTAATATTTCTTCTGCTATTGAACCAGATCATTAGTGTGACATAAGTACACCATCTAAAAGACCAATTTTAAAACTTAGAAATAATTTATTAAGATAATCCAACTTTATTTTCATAGACATCTGCACAGTTTTTGTTTCTGTAAAGTACTTTTTATATAAGTTAAACTTACTGACCTTTAGTTAACTTTTTGAAGGGTGGGTGGAATGATGGCTAACCGCATCAAGTGTTTGATGCATGCTTTAAAAATATGTAACTTATTAGTTAATTGAGGTAAGTTTAACATTTTCTGTAAATGCATTCAAAACTACAATTATTATTTGAAACTACATCTTTATAATATTTGTTGCCACCAAGATCTGACATATTTGATGTAAGTGAATCTGAAATTATTCAAATAACAGACATAAAAGTTTGTGTAATCAGTGAACAGAGTTGTACTGTTGTAGATAAATGTATATTTTTTTATTCTATAACAAACTTACCAAAAAAAACTTCATCATGTGATGACAACGACATTGTGCCATCGTGTAGCATACTCGTTGCATTAAAAAGTTTGACTAAACAATAAAAGGTAAGGTGATTCTTAATGGAGATGTCAATAACAAACTTACCAAAAAAAAATTCATCATTTTGGCGAGTTCTAAGCTTTTATTTATAAAAATGCTGCTCAGAATTCATGTTGGATTTAATCCTAAAGTAATCAAGGTAAGTGAATGTGTCTGAAACACTGCACGTCCTCTGTGTGTTAACTAGTCCAGGCATCATTAATGACAAGCCATGAGATGGCATTTTGTAAATCCTTTTTTTTAAACTGATGTGGTGTCATGATGGATCAGCCAGGTTTAGTCCATCAAAACAGTGCTCAGAAATCCTTTTAATAGAATCTTCAAAGTAACTAAAGTCATTTTGGGCCTATACATTAGTACATAGTTATTCTCATCAATCACTAACCTCAACTAGAAATCCATGACTAAATTTCAGAAATGAGAGAAATTCGGTTGAATAACAGTAACCTAGTGCAAATTAGGTAATTAATTTTTTTCACAGCTTGTATCCCAAAGATAGTCTTTCTTTGTAACTTTAATTTTTTGTTGTGGTTTATGAAGGCCATGAATGTTTTTATTATGGTACTCATATACAATGTTGATAATTTTATTATATTTCAATATCTTGTATAATTTGGTTAGAAAGTTCATTAATATGCAGTTGATTTAATAATAATGAATTGGAAAAAAAAAACTTACTATAAACAAGACATTTTAGGAAGGGACACCATTATTTAACTGATTGCAGACCAAAATAATACAGTTCAGTTCACTCAAAATCTCTTGTGATAATATAATTATGAATGGTGGGATATTATTCTATTTATTACTTTTTTAGTGTTTGTACAATTTTTTAATATCATGTGTAAACGTTTCCATGTCTGTATAGCAGTTGTATTTTGTAAAATGAGGTTTTATGATATTGTGCCTCATTTCCTTAGTATCATCATTTATTCTGTTGTTTCAAAAATTGTTACCTTTGTGATGTGTCATGTTTATATTTAATTTTTACTCCATTGTTTGTGAATATTTTCACTGTTTCCCCCCTTATATGTATATTTTTGGAAGACTTAAAATTTGTATTATTATCCCCATTGATCTTATATCTCACTTTTTTTGGTTATTTTTACTGAATATTTGCTGTTTATCCTAAAGTGTGAAGTATGCCTTGCCTGGCAGCATGGTGATTGTTTTGATATTGAAGAAGAGAAACAGGTTCCACAGAAGTATGTTTGTTATGCTTGTTTAGAACCTAAAGGTAAGCTCAAAATTTGACAGTTCTCACGAGAATAATTTATCAGAAAAGTAGTAGTTTTAATATAACAACTGTTTGAAATGTTCTTTTAGGGCCAGTTTAGAGGGCCATACTGTGGATCCAAGTATCTGTGGTTCAAATACAGTAGCTAAAAAAAAAAAACTCTGCACTTTGAGGCTGTTGTTGCATCGTAAGAGTGTTAGTTAAATCCCACTGTTTGATTAGAGTAGTTCAAGAGTTGGTAGTGAGTGCTGTTGACTAGCTGCCTTCTCTCTTGTCCACCAGTTCAAAATTAGGGAAAGGTGTAGTGCAGGTATCCTTTGTGTAGCTTTGTGCTTATATACAAAACAAACTTATTTTTCCAATAACTTTTTTCATTTGCTCATAGAAATACCGAGTAAAGCTAATTAATTATTTATGATTTTAACAGATCTTGAACACGTACTCAAAAATTTCCATGGTGATGTCAATTAAAAACACTACTGTTAATTATCAGGAACTCTTCACTGTGGTTGTCTGTGAAGAACTATATTAATTTTCTTTTTCATTCTCAATACTCAGTATGTGTTTTTTAAAGATAGAAGAGATGATGTTAAAAGTAAAAATTTGTCTTTTCAGGGCAACGAGAAAGTTTCAGGTATAAGCATGACCAAGATTGGTTTAAGACTGGGCAGATGACTACATTTTCTTTTCTGAATAAGGATGCTCTACAGGTCAGCCAGCCTGCTGCTATGAAGGCTAGTCATGACCTCACTGCATCTCTGCATGATGTCTTTAAGGTGCTCCATAGTGTTAAATACAAACTGAAAGTGCTTGAGTAAGTGCATGTTTTTAATGTATCACTAAAGTTTATCAAAATAAAAGGATATTTAACACTTTTTAAGGGTAAAATATATTGAAACCTTAGGACCAGATAACATATTCGCTTGTAATTAATAAATAAATTATTCTTTTTTTAAACAAAAGGTTATGTTAAAGATATCATACAACCACAGAGGTAAAATAAAAACATGGTGTTTTAAATTTGGGCACTATATGATGTAGATAACCCAGGTGGTGAAACCTAGTTACTCACAGTCAGCAAAATTATTCTTCAGGTAGTTATAATGTTACTCATATCCAATGAACAAGTTGATCAAAACACATTATTATGTTGTTGTTGTTTTGTGAGTAACTTATATGAGTGTATATTGAAATGTAGAATTACTCAAAAAAAGACAACATCAGACATAAATTATGTGGTTGCTGGAATTTATGTTACTAATTTTTCTGGTGTAAAATTATGTTGTGTTCTGCTACTAGTCAGTAACATAGTTCAAAGATATTACAAATTTACTCACTTTTAGTAATTATGTTAATACTGTATTTTTATCTATCAGGGATGACAACCATCCAGATCTGAAAAAATTCTCCAAACCTTGGCATGAGGTAAACAAAGACAAGGAAGTAATTTCTTCAGAAACACTCCAGCCTCAAGATGTTAAAACAGAAGTGCCTACGTCGTCCTCTCAACCTCTTTCTATCCAGCGACTTTTTATGGATCTTGACCATTCCTATTTTTCTCCAATTAAACCACTGACTTCTTTTCCAGCAAAATTGGTTTCTGGTTACAAAACTGATTTATTAGAGCAAGATGGTAGAGAAGGTGAGGGTACCTCGGGTGAACTACTTCCAGATTTGAATGTTGAATCCAGTAGTCAACAAGGCAGTATCAAGCAACATGGAATATCCAAAAACACTGAAGAGAGCAATAAAAAACTTGGAACTACAGAAATCAATCCACCAACTAACTGTGAACAAGAAGTATTTTTGGTCTCATCTGGTTTAGAAGATGTTGTTATAGAAACAGTCCATGATTTAACAGGAACGACAAGCGAGGAAGTTGCTGCTGAAGGAGGGTTACAGTTTCCAGAACTTAAGGTTTCATCAGAAGACAACGTAAGTAGCTGTTACGAGACGCATGGGACAGATTCTATCACTGTTTCACAATCAGAAAATTCATCTGGAAAACTCTGGTCAGGGGAATTTGAGAAAGAAGAAACATTGTGTAATCCTGATCCAGAAAAGTGCAAACAAGACCTACAAGAGCATATTGTCAAAGTTCAAGAAGAACTGGAACATAGAATGGACCTTATTGAAGAACAAATCAGTGGTAAGATGCAGAAATATGAGCGGCAAGGAGATGAATTTTATGTTTAATTTATTGTATGTACCACTGATACACAGTTAAAAGAACTAATAGAAATCCAATATGAAGTTCTAAGCTATAACTCGTATTCCACTCAGCTCAAGGCTTGTGTTCAAGTTAAAATTTTATTTTAAGCTATTTTCAAGTGACACAAAAGCTGTTAAATTTAATATTACTGCATGAGTTGTTTTTAGTGTGGACACTGGTTAGCCCTGTGGTATAGCTTTTGATTTTGTAGCTGGTAAGCTGAGTTCATATCTGTCATACCACAAAATATCCTCTGTACTTTAAGGTTGTGGGTGTATTATAACAGTGACATTTAATTTCTTAGCATGTATGATGGGTGGTAGGGTGCTGCTGAATGGCTGCCTTCCTTCTCAAAAGTGAAAATTAGGAACCACAGCAGATATCATTAATACCTTTGCTATAAATACAGATTATGTCTTTGGTGCTGAACTTATATGAAGGTTGATGTTGAGTGTCAATAGTCAGGACAGTTTGTTGTGTCTTATTGCAATCTGAGTAACTCATGGTTGCTTTTTTGTGATGTTTAACTCTGTGTCGCCCCAGGAGCTAATTTTGATGTGGTGTTTGTTTTGAGCACTTGAGAGCTATACTAAAACAAATAACTGTGGGTTTCAGCTGTTTTATTTAATTATATTGTGATTGTACAACATGTATGTTTTATGTGATGTTGCTATAATGAAATATTGTAGTTTTTATAAAAAATATTCAGATGTTGGAACTCGAAAATTCTATTTTTGTTAGATACTCTTATGTTTCTCATAATACAGGCAGGAAACTACAGGTCTTACAATACATTATGTAATATCACTGTTTTGTTATAGCTTTGGAGGATGAATTAGACTTCCCAGTTGCAAACCAGTCAGGCCCAGCAGGAGATACAGATAATGCAGCCCAGCTGTTGATGTCACTGAGGGGACTGGTGAAAGATTTGGATGTTGTGAAGAAGTTTACACTAATTCAATAAGCTTGTTTTATAAAAAATAGACATACTTGTATTCAGTGTACACCAAGAAATAGGAATACGGGTCTTTTTATCTTATTTTTAATTTGTTTTGTTTCAAGTCAGCAGTAAAAAGATCCATAAAATGTATATAGACAGATCTACATAAGTATGGAAGCAGTATAAAAAATCACATGTACATTATATTAACTATTGTGATTTGACTGTCGAGTTTAATTTTTTTTTGTAACATTATTACAATCCTAATTAAAAGAACAAGAGAAATTTTAGATTATAGTTTTGGAATGCATAGTTCTTGGTTTATTTAATATGAAATTAATATTATTAACAAGGTTATGTAAGAGAGATGCTTATTACCTTTAACAATTTATAAATATCGTTTAAATGATAGAAAATGAAAACTTCACTTGCTTGATGTAATTACATAAGAAACTTATAAAACTTAAAAATGTGTTTTAAATCTGAAGAGTTGGTACCATGTATCAGAATAGAAAAACAAATAAAAGTACTGTTTTCATGAGACAAGTTTTGTGTATTTTTATACCTTTTATAAAAACAAAATTAACAAGATATGTGGAACATTGTCTTTATATAAAAACAAAATTAACAAAATATGTGGAACATTATCTTTATATAAAAACAAAATTAACAAAATATGTGGAACATTGTCTTTATATAAAACAAAATTAACAAAATATGTGGAACATTATCTTTATATAAAACAAAATTAACAAAATATGTGGAACATTGTCTTTATATAAAAACAAAATTAACAAAATATGTGGAACATTGTCTTTATATAAAAACAAAATTAACAAAATATGTGGAACATTGTCTTTATATAAAAACAAATTAAAAATATGTGGAACATTATCTTTATATAAAACAAAATTAACAAAAT